CGTGTCCTTAGGCCAGATTCGAAGGACGATGACGTCATAGCGCGGCGCCGAGGTATGGCCGGATTCCAAGAGTCCTCGTTATGTGACCTTGAAATGCGTCCTTCTTTTTGCCCGATTTGAAGGACGGGTCCGATTTATCCTCGCTATCCTTGGATATCCCCGGATTCATAGCGAGTCCAAACAAGCCAGCTGCTCTGTGATCAGAGGAAAGGTCACTTGGTGCCGAACAGTGGTGAAAATTGGAAGTTCAGTTTAATATAATCCAGTGAATAGTTCCGTCTGAAATGAATGAAAATAGTTGTTTTAATGGTTATAGAGTCAGATATGTGGCGGTAATGTTTGATTTATCTAAAGGTTTTAATCTGTTACTGTGTAAATGGGTTTGGCTGGAATTTAAGGACAGATTCTAATCTATCTGCAGGGTGGGGACTATAAATCTGATATTGCTGTTTTGCACAATATGCTTAACTAAGACACTTTTTGTGGAATATTAGAGATTTTGCAGATATATTTTTTTATACATTCATTGTTTAGATTTACTTATATATTTCTAACCCTTTTATAGAATAGAAAATCCCTTTATTGTCCCACAATGGGCAGATTTACAGCAGCAGAAAGATTATTGAAAATGGTCACACAAATGAGGACCTTAGAAAAATGTCTAAGAACAACATAATAGGGAAGAGTTAAAATATAAACAATAAAATACTGTAAAGTGTTTTAACAATATAAAACTGGAGAATAAATAACCAATATGCAGCTATGGACATTTTTACAGTAATGGATATTTGAAAATAGCAGCAACATCAGAGATGTGCAGAATGACAGCAGCAGGTTATTTAACTGACTAAGGTCTCTATCATTACATTTGATTTGATTTGTTCCTGCTCCCAGTGGTTCCCAGTGGTTGGAACCTTTATTCCTCCCAATAAAGAAATAAATAAACAGTTTTTAAAACTTTGGTATTCATTCTTTTTTCCTGCTTTGTGCGTCAACTATCACGGTTGCTAAGCAACAGAGCATACGGCGGTAAAACCCGCCGAAGGGTAGACCTGTTTGAATTCACAGCCAAAATTCTTCCGGTCTCCTTATTTTCACGGACTTGGAAGGATCCAGTCTAGGTAGACCGCGTCCTTGGAGGATGCAGCCCAGGATTTGGAACAGAGCCATAGTCACTGGATGATTTCAATGATAAATATAATGCCTAATTGTCATTCCAGGAATATGGACAAATAATAAATTATATCCCCAAAAACATTGATCAATTTAGTTCAAAGTTGCTTCAGTAATATTGCAGTTCCTAAACTTAAAACTACATGGAAGCAATATAATAGATAAAAAATGCAACAACATCTTTTTAAGAAAAGTGTCAACAAATATCTTATATCCTTTATCCAATTAAAAGATTTTCCTGTTAAAAGAATACTACAAAAATGATATCCGTGCATTTAGAACCAAATATCTTAAATTTGCTATTCCACCTAAACATAAAGAGCTTCATTAAAAACTTGAAATGACTTTTATCCTTCCAACCAATTCATATGCTCCAAATTGAAATTCGCTGTAAAAAATGTCGTCTATGTGAGCAAGAAGAGGAATGAACTGAACATCTTTTTTTATTGTAGTAAAAGCAAATATTTCTGACCTCAGTTCCTTACTGCTTATTCTCTAAGTCCTTAAACATAAATTTTCTCCCTCCGCCGCGATGAACTTTGATATTATTGCCCAAGATAAATATATAGAATTTATAATTAATTATACAAGTATTATGGTCAAATTCTTCACACACAAATGTCTCAACAAAACTTTCACTACAATCCCTACATACAAAATGTCCTTAAAGAAAATGTCTACCACCAATGCTAAAAGACTCCATGCTTTTCTGTCCGAATGTCATAATTACAGTGGGGCAAAAAAGTATTTAGTCAGCCACCAATAGTGCAAGTTCTCCCACTTAAAAAGATGAGAGAGGCCGGTAATTTTCATCATAGATATACCTCAACTATGAGAGACAAAATGAGAAAAAAAAATCCAGAAAATCACATTGTCTGATTTTTAAAGAATTTATTTGCAAAATATGGTGGAAAATAAGTATTTGGTCAGTTACAAACAAGCAAGATTTCTGGCTCTCACAGACCTGTAACTTCTTCTGTAAGAGGCTCCTCTGTCCTCCACTCGTTACCTTCATTAATGGCACCTGTTTGAACCCGTTATCAGTATAAAAGACACCTGTCCACAACCTCAAACAGTCACACTCTAAACTCCACCATGGCCAAAACTAGAGAGCTGTCAAAGGACACCTGAAACAAAATTATAGACCTGCACCAGGCTGGGAAGTCTGAATCTGCAATAGGTAAACAGCTTGGTGTGAAGAAATCAACTGTGGGATCAATTATTAGAAAATGGAAAACATACAAGACCACTGATAATCTTCCTCGATCTGGGGCTCCAAGATCTCACCCCGTGGGGTCAAAATGATCACAAGAACGGTGAGTAAAAATCCCAGAACCACACGGGGGGACCTAGTGAATGACCTGCAGAGAGCTGGGACAAAGTAACAAAGGCTACCATCAGTAACACACTACGCCGCCAGGGACTCAAATCCTGCAGTGCCAGACATGTCCCCCTGCTTAAGCCAGTACATGTCAAGGCCCATCTCAAGTTTGCTAGACAGCATTTGGATGATCCAGACGATGACTGGGAGAATATCATATGGTCAGATGAAACCAAAATAAAACTTTTTGGTAAAAACTCTACTCGTCGTGTTTGGAGGAGAGAGAATGCTGAGTTGCATCCAAAGAACACCATACCTACAGTGAAGCATGGGGGTGGAAACATCATGCTTTGGGGCTGTTTTTCTGCTAAGGGACCAGGACGACTGATCCGTGTGAAGGAAAGAATGAATGGGGCCATGTATCGTCAAATTTTGAGTGAAAACCTCCTTCCATCAGCAAGGGCATTGAAGATGAAACGTGGCTGGGTCTTTCAGCATTACAATGATCCCAAACACACCGCCCGGGTAACGAAGGAGTGGCTTCGTAAGAAGCATTTCAAGGTCCTGGAGTGGCCTAGCCAGTCTCCAGATCTCAACCCCATAGAAAATCTTTGGAGGGAGTTGAAAGTCTGTGTTGCCCAGCGACAGCCCCAGAACATCACTGCTCTAGAGGAGATCTGCATGGAGGAATGGGCCAAAATACCAGCAACAGTGTGTGAAAACCTTGTGAAGACTTACAGAAAACGTTTGATCTCTGTCATTGCCAACAAAGGGTATATAACAAAGTATTGAGATGAACTTTTGTTATTGACCAAATACTTATTTTCCACCATATTTTGTAAATAAATTCTTTAAAAATCAGACAATGTCATTTTCTGGATTTTTTTTTCTCATTTTGTCTCTCATAGTTGAGGTATATGTATGATGAAAATTACCGGCCTCTCTCATCTTTTTAAGTGGAAGAACTTGCACTATTGGTAGCTGACTAACGTTTTTGCCCCACTGTACATCTGATATTTCTCTTTTTCAGAGAAGTTATTGTTCCTTGTTTATATCGTTTATATCGTTTATATCTTTATTTGATGATGTAATTTACTATTGAATAGCTTATCCTGTATTCATTATTATTATTTTTATTTTTTTTATAGATTTTTAGCACAATTTACTTAACTAAGTATTTTTGTTGTTGTTGAATATAAGAGATTTTGTAGAAATCTTTTTTATACATACATAGTTTAGATTTCCTTCTATCTTTCTAGCGCTTTTATATCATTACATTTGCTTTTATTTGTTCCTGCTCCAGGTGGCTGCCACCTTTATTCCACTCTGGATTCTCATGAGTTTAGTCTTTGTTCACTTAACAATAAAAAAGGAAAACAGAAAACAGTAGTGAGAAGTTCAGTATCCATTGTTTTCCTGCTTTTTTTGTTAACTGTCATGGTTGCTAGGCAACAGAGCGTACGTGCGGTGAAAGCCAGAGAAGGATGGACCTGTTTGAATCCACAGCCAAAACTCTTCCTGTCTCCTTATTTTCAAGGATCCAGTCCAGATAGAGCGGGTCCTTGGAGGATGCAGCCTTTAAAATCAAACACATCCACAGTCTCTAGTGGCAGCTTCCAAATAGCCCTGACTGCAGACTGAAGATCGGGGCGTGGCTCAACATTGGCTTTAACTACGGGCACTTTTATGTCCTTTGATCATACTTCATGAAAAAAAATTAAAAGGGACATTTCACACCTTTATAGTTATCTTTACAATGAAACTGTTTTAGGACATTTGTTTTAGTCTGTGAGGAATTTATTTCACCTTTTTTCAGCCTCATTTCTATGTAAATATTACCGTTTTGTGCTTGTCCCACACCCAGACTTTTGATCTTCAGTGATAAAAATGAATAGCAACAAAAACATGTTTTCTAATGTTTTAAAATATCATTGAATAAAATATCAGTTAAATCAGTGTTCCACCACAACACTGTAATGTCCCTTTAAAAGGTTTCTATGAGAGATTGTTTGGGTAGTTGCTATGGAGATGAACAGTGACATGACAGCAGTGACATGATGGGAATTTTGACTACATCCATCAACTTTTGAAGTAAAGTCAAGGTAAATATTGCTTGAAATGAAAATATTTTTATTGTAAGTAATTTCAAAACATGCCGTAAAATCAACTCAGTCTGGAAATTCTTGTTTTTTTCACACAAAGAGAGTCAAAGTCATGATCCTGATCAGCAGCACATCCCATAATATGCTGACCGCTCTGTTATCGTGCCTCCAGTTTGATCGTCAGCTTTAACCCTGAATGAGGCTGATTCTAACTAACCAGGATCTATGGACAGATGTCAGTAGAAACTCCTTGGGATCGTCACTGACAGGAACTGTTGCTTTGAACTCTTCACTGACTTTGTGTTTCAGAAACAGACCAGCTGGAGCTTTTTTACTAGAAGCTTTGTTTTTTAATGTGAATAAAACCTTGATGGAAAGTTTGATTCTAGTTGATCAGAATCTGTTCTGATCTCTTTGATCAAAGGTCAAATAGGAGAATCACCTTTAGACTGTTGGAAAGATCTAGGATTAAATATCTATGACTTCCTTTTAGGACCATAGTGAACAGGATCAGTTCACTGAACAAAGCCTGATCCAGTCCACTCTGTCCAAGTCATCCTATCAGGACGGACCTGGTTCTGGTCCAAGTGACAGTCTGATCCCACCTGCTTCTCAGTCTGCTTACCTGAACTTCACTGGACCTGGAACTCTGACTGGGATTCCGGTACCAGATCAGGAGGAACTGGTTCTGACTCCATTTGGTGGCAGAACAGAGAAAAGATTCTGGATCACGGTGAGGGAATTTACCTGGAAGATTTAAGGCCAAACAAGAAAACCAGACAACCATCTCTTTTAAGATTCTTGTCCAATCCAACAGAAGGGTAGGTAGAAAACAACTTTATCACTTTATTTTCTATAGGCTTATTTCTATAATCTAAATAACACAGATTGAAACGTTTATATCTTGTTTTCTATTCTTCAGTGGACCTGGCACAACTACAGAAAATGACCACAGCGTTGACCAGTATGAACGTTCAGATATTGGAGACACACAGATAAAAGGTATGATGATTGCTAGAAAATGTTGATAATGAGAAAACATTATCAACATTGTTGATAAACAAGTTGCTTAAAGTTGCAAAGTAATGCGATTGTAGGAATACTTTAACCAGTAACGGAAAGGTATGAAAATTGCAGTGTTTGATAAGTAATAAAGGGTGTACAATTAACAAAAATAAGCAACATTAGTTGCCATTGACATGCATACAATAGTTATTTTGTAGTGTGTATTTTTGGGTCTAAACCTGTACCACATGTGTTGTACTGTTAAAAATAAGAATGATATCCTTTATGAAAACATTACAAACTTTTATCAATTGGTAAGGATCCAAATCAAAGAATGCTCTAAGCACATGCTTGGAGTCTAAGGGAGTCTTGTTAACATTGTGATATAACTACAAATCTGGTGTTATTTGTTTTCAGTGCATTTAATATTTTACAATAAAAATAAAATTTACTTTTAAGTATATTCAGTTTTGTGCACCTGGTGATATGTGTTCAGTGAATTTAATAATTTACGATAAAAACACAACATTAAATTGTTTTGTGGCTCCTCCTGAGATTACAAGGTTCACCTGATCACAAAAATTATTTTCTTTTCCAGATGAACAACAACTGAAGAGCCGGCGCTCAACCAAGCGGATTTGACCCAAACAACTTACGACATAGGTTAGTGATAGTTATATTTTTTTCAATGTCAAAACAACTAATTGTGTTTTTGTTTTACACGATTGACTTTTTTGCTTAATCTTGAAATCTTACATTTCATAATAATTATTTCATAATAAAGCAAGACTATACAAAAGCTTCATGTAGGCAGATTTACAACTCCACCAGCACCCATACAAAATTGACAATGTAAACATCAATGTTATTACAGATATATCAAAGGCCAAGGACCTGATTAGTGAAATGGACGACTCTGGAAAATTCCAACTTCTTCAGACCAGAAAACCCAAATCTTTCAATTTCCCTGCCAGAGAATTTAAATACAACCGAAGAGCCAGTGGGGTGACCAAAAGAACATGCCAGAGGGACTGGCTGGACAAGTATGAGTTTTTATCATTTTTACATCATATAAAGATGATCTACTGTCAGGATCAACATTCAGGCAGGAAGTGAAGTTGTGGCACACAAAGTGGTCATCATCAGTGGAAAAACCCAGCTCTCTCCCTGAAATTCTAAAGATAACAAACATGAAGTGCTACCCAAACATTTATATGATTCGTCACCTTCTGTCAGTCATACCTGTTACCAGTGCTTCTGTGGAAAGCGCTAACTCGGGACTTAAAGCAGTGAAAACTTTGCTGAGGTCAACAATGGGACAGGAAAGGTTTGTGGCTTTGCTACTTTTGTATTTGCACAAGGACATTTAGTTAGACATCAACAAAATCATAGACATATTTGCCCAGAAGGTTGACATTTGTAAACCCATTATCATCATCATAAAGTTTGTAGTAGAGAACAATATTCTTTGTCTGGTTTAACTTTTTTTTTTTTTTTTTTTTTTCAACAGTTTATCTTGTTAAAATATATTCAAAACTCCTTTGTCTTACTTAAACCCAAGTCTTTGGGTTTTTTTATTTCATGTTCTGTGTAAATATCATTTCTGGAAATAAAGAAACTCCTTGTTTGATTAATTGTTGATAAGGATCATTTTTTCTCTTCAAACTACCTTTTAACCTTGTGCATGCTTTAAAAACCGAGAGATCCTTTTTTAATTACAATAATGTAATCATGCTAATTCTGCTTATGTTCATCCATTAAAATTATCAATTAAAAACCCTTGGATGAATAATTAGGGTAGTGTGAAAGAGTGAAGATGGTATTCTTTGGTCTTTTAGCCTCACATTGTCTTGACCTGTGACCCCGTGACCCCATGACCCTTAGTTGCGCACCCCCCTTTGAAAAATCCTGGATCCGTCCCTGACTGACTTTGTGTTTCAGAAACAGACCAGCTGGAGCTTTTTTACTAGAAGCTTTGTTTTTATGTGAATAAAACCTTGATGGAAAGTTTGATTCTAGTTGATCAGAATCTGTTCTGGTCTCTTTGATCAAAGGTCAAATAGGAGAATCACCTTTAGAGTGTTGGAAAGATCTAGGATTAAATATCTATGACTTCCTTTTAGGACCATAGTGAACAGGATCAGTTCACTGAACAAAGCCTGATCCAGTCCACTCTGTCCAAGTCATCCAATCAGGACGGACCTGGTTCTGGTCCAAGTGACAGTCTGACCCCACCTGCTTCTCAGTCTGCTTACCTGAACTTCACTGGACCTGGAACTCTGACTGGGATTCCGGTACCGGATCAGGAGGAACTGGTTCTGACTCTATTTGGTGGCAGAACAGAGAAAAGATCTGGATCACGGTGAGGGAATTTAATAACTGTTTCAATCTAAAATCTAAATTCAAGAGGAAGTAAAGAAGTGCAGGTGTTTCCCCATCAGTACAGTGATCTGTGGATCATTAGAAACTATTCAAGAGATTTTATCACATTATGGTGAAATGTTCAATCTTTAGGTCAGAGCACTGCTGTGCAGTTATTGTTTGATTTTAAATAATAAACTATTATTTGAATCCAAATCCTCCACAATAAATAGATGTTTAAGCTCCACCAGGGGATGGGATTATTGGGCTGACAGCATCTAATATTTGGTTTCCTCCTGAAATGTCCAACTTGTTGTGGACTTGGGTTGTGTAAATGTTGATAATTATAGTTCATAACTGCACTTGGCAGCAATCATTAACCACAATCCCAGTAAATCTCACTGTATCACTAAACCATCAACAGTGAAGGGATGTTTGGAGCTCTGACCTTTAGAGACAGCAGATCACTCTCATATAGAAATAAACATAGATGCGTATCTCTTTATCTATGCTGATTTATTAAACACAATCACTCCCTGTTACAACTAACAATTCTATCCTACAAACTGTTTAACTAGAACTCTCAGAAAATACTAAAAAAGAAGACAAGAACTAATGATGAAGCAGCTAAGAAGCCATTAATAGATGATTAAACAGATCATCACAGCTGTAGCTACAAATAGACGTTGGAAAATAGAAATGATCATCATGAATAGTCGTCAGTCAGCAGCAGTAATTATTAGGAAACCATGAAAGCTTTGGGTCCATCTGCAGGGATGCAGGGATGGGACATGCATGCACTAATGATGCTGATATCTCCCATGGCAACAACCAATCACCTGGTGGGGCCTGCCCCCCCCCCCCCCCCCCCCCCCCCCCCCCTGGCTATAAAGAGGTGTGTTTGAATTTATGGGCTGCTTCCTCCAAGGACTCGGTCTAACTGGACAGGATCCTTCAATAAGGAGACTGGAAGAGTTTTGGCTGTGTATTCAAACAGGTCCATCCTTCCGAGGCTTTCTTCACCGCTTAGCAAACATGACAGCTGACACATAAAGCAGGAGAAGAATGAATACCAAAGATTTCAAAGCTGTTTCTTTTTCTTATTTTTATTTTAAAGTGAGACAAAGGATACGCTCATGAGAATCCAGAGTGAAATAAAGGTTCCAACCAACAGAAGCAGGAACAAATAAAAGCAAATGTAATGATAGAAACCTTAGTCAGTTAAATAACCTGCTGCTGTCATTTTTTCAAATATCCATTACTGTAAAAATGTCCATAGCTGCATATTGGTTATTTATTCTCCAGTTTGATATTGTTAAAACACTTTACAGTATTTTATTGTTTATATTTTAACTCTTCCCTATTATGTTATTCTTAAACATTTTTCTAAGGTCCACATTTGTGGGACCATTTTTTTTCTATAATCTTTTTGCTGCTGTAAACACCAGAATTTCCCCATTTTGGGACAATAAAGAGATTTTCTATTCTATTCTATAAATGAAGTAGAAACATATTAGTAAATCTAAACAATGTATGAATAAAAAATATATCTGCAAAATCTCTAATATTCAACAACAAAACATACTTAGTTAAGCAAATTGTGCAATAAATCCTATCAGATTTATAGTCTCCACTCTGCAGATATATTAGAATCTGTCCTTAAATTCCAGCCAAACCCATTTACACAGTAACAGATAAAAACCTTTAGATAAATCAAACATTACCGCCACATATCTGACTCAATAACCATTAAAACAACTATTTTCATTCATTTCAGACGGAACTATTCACTGACTGGATTATATTAAACTGAACTTCCAATTTTCACCACTGTTCGGCTCCAAGTAACCTTTCCTCTGATCACAGAGCAGCTGGCATGTTTGGACTTGCTATGAATCCTGGGATATCCAAGGATACTGAAGATACATCGGACCCATCCTTCAAATCGGGCTAAAAGAAGGACGCATTTTAAGGCCACATAACGAGGAGTCTTGGAATCCAACCAGACTTCGGTGCGGCGCTATGACGTAAATCGCCTTCAAATCTGGCCTTCTGAGGACGCAGCCCATGAAATCGAATGCAGCCACTGTTTTCAGGATCTAGTCTATTGTTGTAATCTATGGTTCTACATAACAAACAATAAATGGATAAACTGTTGTTCTTTATCTTGAATTACTTGGAAGATGACTGCTGAGACAAACTCTACAACATCAAACATAAAAACTGATTCTTAAAAGAGCCTGAATGATGGATTTGATCCCCTAATAGAAATATATAGCAGAACATTTATTTCTGTATAATTGTCAATTTTAGCTTCATATACTAACTTTAAAATGTCAAAGTAGGACACTGAACATGATGGTATCAGTGCTGCCACCTTCTGGCTTAGAGGAGAACTGCTTGTTCCAGAGGGGGTGATAAAGGGGGGGGCCTAGCTGTTAATAATTAGAACTATTCTAAATATTTTTTATATTTATTTTTGGGACAAATGCCAGAATGGTTTCTAACATTCAGTGTCGCCTCCTTCACATATTTGCTCGGTGACGCCTCTAATAGAAACATGGGGTCATTTTTTTTTCCTAATAAGGATTTAAAACATTCAAACAATCATCATGAAGCAATAATTGAGCTCAATGCAGCAGCAGACAGATCAAGAAAATCATTTAGTCAGGGTTGAATGACAAACAATAATCAATAATTATGTTATAAAATATAGAAGGAAAACTTGGACATAAGTGATAAAGGGGGAAACTGATATTAAAATCAGAAAAATGTGGGAGATAAAAGGAAAGCAGGAAGAAAACAGAATAGAATCAATATTCTACATTAACGACCAACCCTTAACAATCATAGACAGGTTTCAGGTATTACAGGAGACAATCCCCCCCGTTAATGGCAATCCCCCCTTTAACGACCGACCCCTAGAATCATAGACAGGTTCAGATATTACAGGCTAACGATGGAACTAACGACCCATTCATCGGTTACCATTGCATGTTTCCAAGCGATACAAGGCGTGTCTATATAAGACTCAAACTCACTGCGGATCCAGACATTTGAATTGAGAAAGCTTCCTGGAGAGGTGGCGAAACGTCTTCAAATCTTGAAAACCAAGTCCAGTGGATATTTTTTGAATTTTTACGGAATAGAATCAATAATTTCATGATGCAGAATTGGTCAAACAGGTTTGAATAGTTCACTTAGTTAAGTATTGAACATATTGCTAATAAAAATTAATTTAAAAAATCAAATACTATTGGATTTGAAATATATTTTATCACTACAGAGAAAATATTTTTCTTTTTGTTGTTGCTGTAAACCTCCTGTTGACACTCCAGTCCAGCAGGTGGCGGTAATGCGCTTTAATAGGTGGTCTGCCAGCCGCTATGAAAGAGATGCAGCAAAGATTAGAGGAATAAACAGAAGGGAGGAGATATTCATGAATAGAATAAACACAGTTTTTATAATTGAACTCTTTTTAAGATGGGGAAACATCTCACTGGTTTTTGTAGTTGGTGAGATAATGTAAAAACAATGGAACATGTTCTTATTAGTTGTAGAAAATATGTCAATCAAAGAACATGATTAAAAACAGAATAAGGTTTTAATGGGGAATTGAAATTTGTTAATATGGTTGAAAAGTTAAATAGTATTAAGGGGATGAAGATTTTTCTTGTTTTTGTTTTTTTAAATATAGGGATCATTATGAGAATTTGAGGGATAGATATTAGGATCCAATAGGTGGCAGTAGTGCAACAATAATGGAGGCAAGCTGCCGTTAAAAGAAGAAGAAGAAGAAGAAGAAGCTCTAAAGGCGGGGAAGGTTGGTGGGTCGTCCTGTCGGTTGGGCCACGGAAGGACAGAGAGAGGTCGTGGATGGTCGTTTGGTGCATGGCGCGTGTTTTGAAGCTGCTTATGGAGAAATGTCTTGGGCCGTGAGTAGTGAGGAAACAGGAAGCGATTCTTGTGGGATGGAAGAGGGAAATAGTGACAATGAAGGTTGGAAGATAGCAACATCAAAAAATGAGAAAAAGCGGAAAAAACAGAGATCAGTTCAAGGGGAATCTAGTTCAGAACAATCCAGTGATGATCATTCCATACATTCCACAGCACAACAAAATGAATTCAAAGTCATATTCAAAGTCGTTAATCAGGCAGACTCTTTTACAAATTGGAATCCGGTTCACTTAACAAAAACCATCAATAAACTTGTCGGAGAAGTCAGAGGTGCCAGAATTCTGTACAGTGGAGACCTGCTAATTAACTGCAGAGACAGCGCCCAGCAAGGCAAAGCAATACGGATCAACAAAATTGACGGGATAAGAGTTCAGTGCAGCCTAATGGAGA